CTCTCTCTCTCTCTCTCTCTCTCTCTCTCTCTCTCTCTCTCTCTCTCCCTCCCTCTCTCTCTCTCTCTCTCTCTCAACCTTTAGCCCAGGACCAGGTCTATCCCAGCAGAGTGAACTACCTCTCCAGAGTGAACCATGGCGCTCCAAGCCAAAGCTCTGGTGACTTCCAGGTGGCTCGCGGAGGCCGTGAGGGTCCAGGGGAAAATGCGCATCTTGGACACCTCTTGGTTTTTGCCCAAACTGCGGCGCAGCGCAAAGAGCGAGTTCAAGAAGCGGCACATCCCGAGCGCGTTGTTCTTCGACATCGATCAGTGCTGCGATAAAACATCTCCTCTGGACCACATGCTGCCGCCGGAGAGGGTCTTTGCAGACTACGTCGGGAATTTGGGGATAGAGCGCGACACGCACGTCGTGGTGTACGACGCAAGCGAGTTCGGCGCGTTCTCGGCGCCGCGCGCGTGGTGGATGTTCCGGGTGTTCGGGCACAGCGCGGTCTCGTTGCTCAACGGGGGGCTCGGGAGCTGGGAGCTGGAGGGTCGACCGGTGAGCGACCGGTACGCCAGACCGGCGCCGGCCGAGTTCAAGGCCTCCCTGAACCGCTCCTGGATCAAGAGCTACGAGGACATCCTGGACAACCTGGACACCAAGAGGTTCCAGGTGGTGGACGCCAGACCCGCGGCCCGGTTCAGAGGAGTGGACCCCGAACCCAGAGACAGTGAGTAGTCCGTTACACACGAACCCGAACTGAAAGTTATGAGTTATGGATCTCCTTCACAGCAAGTAAATGATTACTAAATGTCACCTTTAGTCCCTTTGATCCGTGAGGAGGCTCTGCTGTCAAACACAAATCATCTTTTTTATTTCATGATCATTTATCAGACACTTGATTCTAAATCTTGCAGAAGTGAAATCTTCAAATGCTGCAAGAGTTAATTAGGCTGTAAAACATCATTAATCATTACTCAGGTAAAACAATAAAAAGGTTCTTTTGTCGCTTGTTTGTGTGAACTATTTATTTTGCGGTTGTAATCCTTCGTCACATTTCTATTATTATTATTTCTATAACTCTATTGTTCACATGACATCTGTTGTTCTGCTGATGGGATCTCTCCTCTGTTCATCTTGAGGTTTCTTCCTCTTTTCTCCCCGTTAAAGTTATTTTGGGGAGTTTTTTCTGTCCCGGTGTGAAGGTCCCGGGACGGAGGATGTCGTTTGTTCATTTCTCAAACCACAGGTTTTGATCACATAATGTTGTATCCTTAACTGATCGCATTAATCAAGCCTCGCTGATCATTCATTGATCCGATCAGCAGCAGAGGTGATGATCGGGCACAACGTCAGTCAGTCGGATGATGTTGAGACTCATCAGTGTGTCGAGCAGCTCAACGTGTTTCTACTTTGATTTAAAGGAAACCGGTCGACTCAATTCAAATCAATATCGTGATATTCATGAATCTGATATTGTGGCAAATAGATGCATCGACACATAAACTGTCCTCATGTTGGATTACATGCGGCTAAACGTGTAAAACAGAAAGTTCAGTTCATCATGTTTGTGTTATATTACAGATATTACACACATGGAGCCTGAAGTAAAACATATTGAGCTACACATGGAAATATCATTTCTATTGTTAACTTTCAGAACATAATATCAACACAAATACAGCTATTGTTATTACTTCATGTACAATATCTATGTTCAGAGTAACACATCAACTAAAGTGCAATCTTATTCACATTATGAGGGAAACGTATTTCATACAGTCTTAGTTTCTAATCGTTTGAAACTCGTGGTTAAAGGTGTAAATTGCAACAAAATAAAATAAAATACAAAACAAAACTACTCGGTTAGCTTCAGTAAAAAAACACAATATTGTTCTTTTGTTGTTGGTAATGTATTGATATTGTTATCATCTTTCATATCTTGTAAAAACATCTTGTCAATAATATTGTACGTAGTCGCATCTTTATGCATATTCATTTTATGTTCTCTGTAATATTGTTACATTTAAATATTATTTAGGTGGAGGCTTCCATTAAGCCTCTTCCTGCACTGTGATATTTATTTTGTTTACTTTTATTTTATTGTTTAAATTGTGCCTATTTATAAATAAATAAAATAAATAAACGAAACCTAAACGCAATAAAACTTCTCGGTTCACACGGGACACGAACCGCGGTCTCCCGGTGAAAGTTGGTCCGAAGCAAACATCAACGACAAAAACACATTTTCTCTCAAAGCGTAACTCACAACGAAGGTTTTCTCGTCTGTGAGCGTAACGTTCAGACGCTCTGAAGAGGAGAGCAGCGGAAGTCTGGTTTCCTCTCAGACAACTTGAGTTATAACAAGATAAAAAGGTTAATATGGAACAATAATGACACCAAGCAAACAGCACAGGAGCAGCTGACTGGACGGCCTCGAGTCTTTACATATATTGTTCACTCTGATATTCAGATCTTTACAGATATGCAGCGAAAACACACCCTGAGTACACACACACACACGCATACACAAACACACACACACACACAGAGGTGCTGGTAGAGCTCCCTATCACAGGTGAAACTCCACATGTGAACACAGTCTCAGGGTGAACTTTGACCTCAGGCTGACTGACTGCTTCCATTGTTTTCTAATCTTTATAGTTCAGGGAAGAGAGGAACTGGTTTTCCCCTTCGTGCCAAATCAAGAGAATCTTCTCTTATTCATTCATCTATCAAACCGATACTCTTTAAACGCAGACTGACTTCATAGCGTAATAACTTTGAATACGATATCTGCTCATTTTATATATGATTCATGGCTGTGTACCAGTTATAGATTAAGTTCTTGCATAGCTGGAACTTTTACTTCGTTAAATGCAAAAAGGAGTTTCTGTTGAAAATATGCTCGTACTTTTTAAAGTAAAGTATTGAAAAACGTTTGTTTTGATATTAAAACTCAGGTAGCAAATAGTAGTGATTCAAACAATATGTGTACAGTATTATAATAACTCTATTTATAAAGCTCCTTTCAAAAGCTAAGTTACAAAGTGCTTTGAGTGCGTTGATCAAAGTAGGAGGATCGGTATCGTACATTTTTAAACAATAGACCGCCTCAATCCTCGCCCTCGTATCTTGGGATATGATTGTCACTGTTGGACACGTAGCTAGTTTGCAATACAAGCAAATGGAACCTTTTTATTTAACAATGGAACTGATGTAAAACGTACAAATGGAACCTTCACTGTCATGTCAAATGACGGCGCAGGATGCTGGAAGAACAACACATTTAGATCCTACATCCACATTAAAGATGGCGTATTTCCTATTAAAGGGTTAAATGTCTCCCGCTCATTCTCCTCTCTCTGATTGATTGACAGACACGGAGCCGGGCCACATCCCCGGCTCCATCAACGTGCCCTTCCACTACTTCCTGTCGCCGTCGGGTCACTTCCTGCCCAGGGAGCAGCTCCAGGCTCTGTTCGTCCGGGCCGGCGTGGACCTCGGCCGGCCCGTCTGCGTCCTGTGCGGCTCGGCCGTGACGGCGTGCACCGTGGCGCTGGCGGCCCACGAGTGCGGCCAACCGGAGGTGTCGGTGTACGACGGCGGGTGGTCGGAATGGTACACCCGAGCCGTGCCCGAGCACGTCATCTCCGAAGGACGAGGGAAACATTTGTGATTGGTTAACGGGGGGTTAAAGATCAGACCGGATCAAACCGGATCAGACCGGTGGTGGTCTTTGAAGGAAGAGTGTGACATTTTGGTAAAATACTTCCTGCTAATATTCTGCTTGTTTAGTGTCTTGGCGAGAGTTAGATGAGAAGATTGATACCACTCAGCCAGCAGACGGTTAGCTTAGCTTAGCTTAGCATAAAGACTGGAAATGTTGAAAACAGCTAACCTGGCTCTGTTTTAAGTTTTAAAAATCCTACCATAGACAGTAAGAAGTGGACGTAGATGTCGTGACGTCACCCATTGGTTTGTGGACTGATGTCTTGAAGCCTCGAGTTCGGCATTTTAGTCCACCGAGGTAGAGACCTGTCAATCACCGTGTAGCCCCGCCCTAAAGCATCCCCTGCTTTATGGTCTGTTTGACTCTAAATGGACCATAATGTACTAAATGAACATCATGCTGTATTGAAGAAGACTTGAAACTAGAGATTGAGACCATAAACTCATGTTTACAATGTTTACTGAGGTAATAAATCAAGAGAGAAGTAGAGTCATTTTCTCATAGACTTCTATTCAACCAGAGGAGTCGCCCCCTGGTGGACACTAGAGAGAATGCAGCTTTAACACATGAAGCATCGGCTTCACTCGGAAGAACCGGAGGTTGCTGCCTGATTACATCTTGTTTGTTTAAATTCATGCACAAAAACAGCCTTTACGCTAAGCTAAGCTAACCTCCTGCTGGCTTTGCTTCATATTTAATGTGCAGATATGAGAGTGATATCGAGATTCTTGTTGTTCCCCAAAAGATGTGAAAAGTATTCCTTTAAACATTTACAAACTTTTTTCATTCCAAACTAGACGACTTGACCAAAGAGCGTGAACACGAACGTTACAGTTGTGATGCTCACGATGGAATAAAGCAGAGCTGCACTTTGAATCACGAGTCGGTACAGTTGTTGAAAGCTCATGTACGTCTGCTCCTCATGTATACATATATACTGTATATATATATATATATATACATATACATATGTATATATGTATATATATAGACATATACATATGTATATATGTATATATATATGTATATATACATATATATATACATATATATATATGTATATATGTATAAGGGACACAAAACTGACTGAGATCAGAGTTCAGTTCAGGCGGCTGGTAGAGAAGCTCACTTTGAGTTCAATCGTTGGACTTCAGACCTGTGAGCTCAATATTCAGAATGCTGATTAGACATTTACACACACACACCCACACACACACTGTGCTTTTTGCCTTTTGATAATAAGGGTTAACTGGAGGAGAAGTGAAATACAATAGAATTACTGAACTAGATTTGTTGCTTTCAAATAGTGTTTTTTTCGCAGCCTCCTCTTATTTGATCCCGTTGTCCCACAGTAATTATAATCCACACAAAGCTCATAATAATACACACAAAGCTCATAATAATACACACAAAGATCATAATAATACACACAAAGCTCATAATAATACACACAAAGATCATAATAATACACACAAAGATCATAATAATACACACAAAGCTCATAATAATACACACAAAAATCATAATAATACACACAAAGATCATTATTGTCTCGATGTATCTGTGGCAGCCTTCCTCAGGTTCACGTTTATTGAACTCAACATGTTTGTTTCCACCTCTTATAATTCAGTGTCACCAGTAAAAATAATAATTAATAATCCTCTTTCATTTCCTTCAAAACAATGAACCTAAATGCATTTAGATAGAAACACGTTCCTCTCTAACGTGTTGTAAAGTCACGTGACTTTGAGTTAAATCTCCTAATAGTAATAAAAATGACACAGCTTCAGATAAAAGGGAAGTGAAGCTTCCAAACTTCCTGACTTCCTTTTCGTCTGAAGTCGTCTCTGACTCACTCCTTCTGAACGTTCTCTGTTGTAACGGAGTCTCGTACAGACGACGCAGAAAGGGAGTCGACCGGGTCGGGCGGGTCGTGGGTCTGTGGTTGGGCGGGTCGTGGGTCTGTGGTTGGGCGGGTCGTGGGTCTGTGGTTGGGCGGGTCGTGGGTCTGTGTTCCAGCCGGAGGGAGTAACGGGTGAGTGTGTTGATAAAGTCTTTCTGTTATCTCGCTGTGAACACCAGCTCCTCTCACAGTGAAATGTTGCCGCCTTCTTTCAATATGAACATAATTGTCTTCTCTTATTTAGACGTTATATATATAAATGTCTTCAATCATTCAAGGGGACAATATTTAACGAATAGACTTCTCCAGTTGATTATTCACATTAAGACGATTATTGTTAGTATTATAAGTATTCTGATGTGTTTAAACATGCAAATGAGTCGTTATCTAATGGTAGCTTTTAGAGAATTTAGGAGAAAACGTCTCAGTCTGAACTCGGATCATATTTATATTTTGTTGGTTTCTCTGCTGAGGTTTGTTAAAATGTTTCTTTCTGAGACAATCATTCTGTTACTTTATGCTCAGTGTTCATCGTTGTTCTGATGACGGGACACTTTTTAGTGAATATGAGTCGGGTGTAATATTTAAATGATTGGTCATGAACAGTGACGTCTGTTCAGAGTCACGTCACACAGAGACGTGAGACATGCTGATGGAAGAAGTCTCATTTCTTTCATCTAGTTATTGATAAAACACGAGTGTCCTGATTGGTCGAATGACAGCTGATGATGGTCAGTCTGCACTGATCTGCATGCTGTGAAGAGTAACTCGTGGTTCTACAATGTAACAATGTAGCAACTCAGCTGTTTGTGATAGAACCACAGGGGGGCGCCAAAGCCAAGCACACGAACCAGAGCTTCTACAATCTGAACCCTCTTTAACCTCTTAATCTTATTATATTATTCAGCTAAACATGAGTCTGACTGAGTGAAATGACCTGAAGTATCTAAGTGTCCTTCAGCCTAGGAAACACTGCACCTTCCTTTTCCAAAGGAAAGAAGATAATGCCGCCCCACAATGCTTTGCGGTATCAACATTTAAAGTGACGCACCAAGTAAACAAAAGATATGTTATGCTTCACGCGTCGCATGGTGTCGTGAAGTCGAAGAAGATGTTGTTGAAATGTTGCGCACGTTTTGTCAAATTGATGAAGTGTTTTCTTTATTTATATTGTGTTAGCTTCATCAGCAGGCTAACTGTTCCCCCTGTTTCCAGTCGTTAAGCTAAGCTAAGCTAAGCTAAGCGCCTTGATCACATGCATCTTATAGATGTGACAGTGGTATCAATCTTCTCATCTAACTCTAAGAAAGCAAATAAGCTAAAAAACAACAACTATATTCCTTCAAAGTAAACAAAAAGTCACCTAAGATTTAAGTTGTCAGAGTACAAGTACAATAGAAGGCTTCTTCACTTGGTGTTAAGGAGCGTGTGAGGGTATATTTTGCATTGTTTAAAGGGATAGTTGTGAGGTTTAGAAGTATAATCATACAAGGTACTTCAATATCAGTTACAGTGTACACTATATTTAGTTCAGCTCTCTTCAAAGACTCAAAAACAGTCATTCTTACCTCGCTCTAATCGTTCAATGGGTTCGTTTGTGTTATTATATCTTGAACACATTATGAATAAAGTGTTCACTTAAACTGATGGAGATCCTTTTAGGAGGGTAAAATACATCCACAGCAGAACATTACTGTTTGTTTCCACTGCAGTAGAACACATGCGCTATCCCTTTAATGACGCTGTAGTGGGAGAGACTGCTGCTGCTGCTCACAGGCTATGAAGGGTATAGTGACACCATCACATGTGTCACAGGAGGCAACAATCAACCGAAACTTAAGAGTTTCTATTTTGCCTGAAACTAAAGTGATGAAGTGAACATGAAAAGCGTTAATGAAAAGAGAGAAGGAGCCGATCCTCTGAAGGGGTTTCTTCTCTCACAGCTCTTCTTCAAACATGGGATGCTGTTTCATCAAGATAACGTCAGAGAAACCACACCAACCACCACTTCACGTCTTTTTCTTCTTTACTCAGAAACTTTTCCTTGACGTCACTTTAGAGGTTGGAGGTAGCGATTGGGCTTCTGGAGGGGAAACAGGAGTTCTCTTAGTGTCTCTGAATGAGTCGACAGACATGGTGACGAATCGATCAGCAGCTCTCCACAGACGGACGCTGAGCGGGTACGTTCCTTATCTTCGGTCGTGAGGGGTTTTAAAAAGATAAACTTTATCTTTCAGGATAATGAACAAATGAGACTTTTAGTTGGTTTGACGATGATGATGATGACGATGATGATGATGATGATGATGATGACGATGATGATATGAAAGACCTGTTTGGTGACATTTGAATTAAGAAAAATTTGGACAGGAAGTAGGAGTCTAAGTGTGTCACTGTGGAAACAAACTTACAAAAAGACTGTGAACTCTTTCAAATTAAGAGTTTCTTTAACTTTGTTTGAACTGACTGATGTAGATTAGTTTGAAGTTCTTCACATCTGTATCAAAGTAAGATAAGAGAGATAACACAGCTCCCACAGCAAGACTAAATATATACGCACATATATATATATATACAAATATAAATATACATATACATTTGCAGTATTACAGCAGAAAAGGGATAGTGCAACAAAAAGAGGCATCGGTCAAAAAACAACAACAAAATACAAGTAGGAGAGAGAAAGGCAGGTAGACAAGGTTTGATATGTGGGAAGGTGAGAGAAGGTGAGAGAAGGTGAGAGAAGGTGAGAGAAGGTGAGAGAAGGTGAGAGATGTGGGAGGAAGCGAGAGGTGGAGGGAAAAGGAAACAGCGTGGGGGTGTGAGGAGAGAGAGACACAGAGAGAGAGAGAGACATAGAGAGAGAGAGACA